TTATTACAAGACTTTTGTAGCGTAATATACAACACCAACCCAGACAATATAGCACTGCAGACTATTACAAATGCACACTTTATTTAACTCTTCAAGGGTAAAAGTTGTTGGAAGCAAGATCAAGCTCCCATAATGCAATTTAAAAACATAAATAAATGGGGAAAAATAAAAAACATTAATCATAAAATATGGAAAACTGCAAATTTATGGATCTTTTTTACAGTGTCAGTGATGTGTCAGCATGCAGGGAGCACCAGCTAGTGTGGACATTCTGAGTTTCACATAATTCCTTCATGTTGCTAACTTAATTGTTTTATTTAAGTTGATTGAACGTAAACAATTAAGTTATCTGCAAAAAATCTCAAGACTTCAGCTCATTGCAGCTAAGTATTTTGAACAAGCAGCAAAAATAATAGTTTGAGTTTGTAGGCTGTGCAGATGGTGCGGTTCGGACTCTTCCTCAGTGAACCTGCTGGGTTTGTTGAGTCTGAATCCTGTCTGAAACGCCGCTCAGTCGGACCTCCTTCAGAGCCCAGCTGGTTCTGAGCGCTAATGATGTCTTAATCTTCCTCCAGACGGCTGTAGTGAGAGTCCATTGTGGGCCTTTGTTACCAAATAAACACTGTAATCTGTGTGCTGCGATCGGAGATTGCCGTGGATTGTTTAGCAACTAAAACCAGCCCTGATTATAGACATGGAAGATGAGCAGTGGCGGCACGGTGGCTCAGTGGTTAGCACTGTGGCCTCACAGCAAGAGGGTCACTTGTTTAAGTCTCGGCTGTGCCAATTGGCATTTCTGTGTGGAGTTTGCATGTTCTCCTCGTGTTGGTGTGGGTTTCCTCCGGGTGCTCCGATTTCCCCCACAGTCCAAACACATGCGCTATAGGGGAATTGATTAAATAAATTGTCTGTAGTGTAAAGGGATGCCATGATTGTAGATTTTGGTTGTACAATTATAGTCTGAGGAATAATCGGGGTTTCACGGTTATCACGATTTTAATGCATTCATCCATTTCAAAACATTACTAAGTTAGAAAATCACCTGAAAACTCCTAATATTTGAAGTGTTATTTACTGCTGCTCAGAACAAAATAATACAGTATATAATAATAATAAAAATAACAATGGTCCATTTCTCTTTGGACTTAAAATAAGTTAAAAATGAGGTATTTAAACATAAGTAATAATTTTACATTTTACATTACAGCTATGCTTTTGCTTTCTTCAGTACATGTTAAAAGTTCCTAAAATTAATAATAATAAAGGCAGTGTTAAAAACCCAGCCCTTATTTATCAGCCGCACAATCACTTTTGATTTATTTATTTATTTATTAACTTTTTTTTTTACCTGGCCTGATTTTGAGTTTATTTTTTGCCCATATGCACTGGCGGCCAAGTGGATGTGCCATTAGTGGAAATAATCTGCTGTTACACAACAGTGCAGAGTCAGAACATCGAGTACAGAGTCGCACACTGACACACATAAACACTGTGATGTCAGGGGACTGAGACTCCGCCCACTCACCCTGTCACATGACCTGCAGTACTAACATGCAGAAGACTTTCTCAATGGAGGAAACGACAACCAGTGTGGCTTTTATATGTTTAGTATTTATGGTTATATATTGTTAGGGGACAGTAAGGCACAGTTCACTCAAAAATAAACAATTCTTAGTTACATTTTCTGTTAAAATATTCTGCAAAAAAAAAAAAAATCCATTGACATATACAGTATTTTTGGATGTCAGCAGCTGCTATTTTTATTCTTTAGTATATCTTGTCTTGTGTTGAACAGAAGAAAGAGTTTAGAGTTTAGTAAATACTCTTAATAAATTTATTTTTGGCTTAAATTAATGAGATCATTTATAAATAATTAAACAGAATGATTTTTTTGTGGCTCTTGAGTCTGCGGTATGTTTCTCTTTTTTAAGTTCCTACTATCAGAGTAAAGCAGTGAGTATCTTTTTTCATGATAAAAATATACATTATTACCTAACCTTATAGTATTGTTTAAAAAGTATTATAAGCACCATTGCTAAGTGTTTGTGCAACAGTTAAATACTAGGGCTGGGGCTGCATGATTTTGGAAGAAATCTGACTTTGCAATATTTTCATTCACCACGATATACACTTACTGGCCACTTTATTAGGTACACCTTACTACTGTAGTACTGTACTGTAGATTTAACAAGCTACTTAAAATATTCCTCAGAGATTTTGCTCCATATTGACATGATAGCATCACACTGTTGCTGCACATCCATGATGCCAATCTCCCGTTCCACCACATCCCAAAGCTGCTCCATTGGATTGAGATCTGGGGACTGTAGATGCCATTTGAGTACAGTGAACTCATTGTCATGTTCAAGAAACCAGTCTGAGATGATTCACACTTTATGACATGGTGTGTTATCCTGCTGGAAGTAGCCATCAGAAGATGGAGACACTGTGCTCATAAAGGGACGGACATGGTCAGCAACAATACTCAGGTTGGCTGTGGTGTTGACACCATGCTCAATTGGTATTAATGGGCTCAAAGTGGTATTAATGGGCTCAAAGTGAGCCAAAAAAATATCCCCCACACCATTACAGGTGTACCTAATAAAGTGGCCGGGAGTGTAGATATTCTATATTCTTCAAACTACTGAAATTCTCCTGTTCTGCTTGAACTAGAGTAGACTGGAGATATGTATTAATTCCATAAATGATCATCATTGCTGTGATGTCCGTTCATAAAGACAGCTGCCCGTTTAATAGTGAGCTATATAGTGTGCTTCCAGCATCAGCCAGCAGGAGCCTATGGGTCACCATTACTGACTGAACTCTGACTCTGAGTTCACAAGTCACATGACCTGCAGCATCAAAACATCTTACACAAGTCAGATGTAGAGTAAACAGTCACTCGCATAAACAAATACACTGATACTTATACACACACAAACACTTACTGATACACATAGCCACCCACTGGTCCAACACTGATACACACAGACTTTTTATATTTTAATATGGACTCTTAAAGCTGTTTAAGTCCCCGCTGGGATACAAAAACAAGTACATTGCATGCACACACAGATCCACAGACACTCACACATGCACACATATGCATGCTCACACACTGATGCACAGACACACATAAAAACAGTATACACTAAATGTATACACACAGCAGTGCACACACATTGATACACAACCACACACACACACTTACACACTGAACAAATGTACAGTCTCTCACACTCATAAACTCATACACCCTTATAAATACACACACTCTGATTTATAAGCACATACACACATGTATACAAACACACAGATACATATACGCTTACACACACGAAAACCTGTACACACTGAACGCACACATGCAATCTCTCGCACACACACACAAGTACTGCATGCTGAACACGCACACACAAAAGCAATACACACACATTGATACAAAAACACATACACACACATATATACACACAGTTATAACTATGCTGGCACACATACACACACTGATACATATACACTCATAAATACGCATACATTGATACACAACGACACACACATATACACACACACACACACTGATACATATACACTCAAAAATACAGATACATTGATACACATCGACACACACACACATTGATACACAACCACATGCACACACACACACTCCCACAGATACACATACACTGATACCATACTTGTACATGTACACTTATACACAAGAAAGCCTGCACACACCGAACACAAGCGTACAATCTCTTTCACACACACACACACACAAACACTGAACACACAACAATGCACACTAAACTCTACGCTCATAAATACAAACATTGATACAAAAACACATACACGCACACACATACACACACTGATACATATACACTCATAAATACACACATATTGATACACAACCACATATACACATTGATACACACAGATACAAACACACTCATACTGGTACATATAGACTGACACACACACAAACTACATACAAGCTAAGATGCACTGAACTCGCACACCCACAACAAACTAGTGCATACACACACACACACACACACACGCACGCACGCACGCACACACACACACACACACACACACACACACACACACAGGCTGAGCTTCTGATGCTGTAATAGATTTATATGAGTATTAAATCTGCTCTTCCTTCTTCATCTCAATCCTATTAGGTTTGTCTTGATGCTCTGGTTTAATATTCTCACAGCACACACACACACACGCACACACACACACACACACACACACACACACACACACACACACACACACACACACACACACAGTTGAAGTCAGAGTTATTCGCCCCCATTTGAATTTTCTTTTCTTTGTTAAATATTTCCCAGATGATGTTTAACAGAGCAAGGAAATTTTCACAGTATGTCTGATAATATTTTTTCTTCTGGAGAAAGTCTTATTTGTTTTATTTCGGCTAGAATAAAAACAGTTTTTATTTATTTTTTTTATATTTTAAGGACAATATTATTAGCCCCTTTAAGCTATATTTTTCCGATAGTCTACAGAACAAGCCATCGTTATACAATAACTTAATTACCCTAACCTGCCTAGCTAACCTAATTAACCTAGTTAAGCCTTTAAATGTCACTGTAAGCTGTATAGAAGTGTCTTGAAGAATATCTAGTCTAATATTATTTACTGTCATCATGACAAAGATAAATAAATCAGTCATTAGAGATCAGTTATTAACAATATTGTGATTAGAAATGTGCTGAAAAAAAAAAATCTTCTCTCCATCAGACAGAAATTTAGGAAAAAAATAAACAGGGAGGCGAATAGTTTTGCCCTTAACTGCACATACATAATTGTGTATGTTTAAATCTAAATAAATGTTTTGTTTCTTCTTTAATCAAGTGATGTTTTATAAACATATTTCGGGAGAAGCATGATCACTTTTGACGAGGCTAATGTAACCGGTTCTGCGTTGTGTTTTCTTTGTTTTATTAAGGAATAACCAGTCGGGGATCTGCAGTTGTGACGGCTCTTTACTCACTGAGAATAAATCAAAAAGCACAGCTTTTACAGTGTGTCTTCGCCCTTACAGCTTTTCTGTTAAAAGGAAAGTGCAATGCATTTTAGCATTCACATGCTTCAGTTAGGCTAAAGTCAATCAAAAACCTCAATTTAAGTGATAACACAAAAATAATGAAATATATGTGAAAAATAAAGGTATAAATATTATTTAAACATGAAAACCAGCTTTAAAAGTTATTTATAAAGTAAAGATGATTAAAGATTAATTGGAGCTTAGCAGACACCCACCTCTCCCATGCATAGTCAGTGCAGAAAGGGAAGAGGCGGGCGCAAAACAGGAAATTAAACAGCGTGAGCTCCCTTAGACATTTAAAGGAGAAGACACACACTAACAAACACCTCAGGTATACTTACTAACACATTAGATAAAACACATATTTTGTGTAATTCTATACTTAAAGCGAATTATAATTTTCATACCTGTTACACTAATTCATTATTGACAATCATTCTATTATCCAATCAAACACGTCACATCTCTGTCACTCGACTTCAGCATCCCTCTTCACCACTCCAACTCGACACTGTTAAACCCCATACCTAAATCTGAGCGGTGGAGCGATCTGCAGCTGGGCTAGTTATACACACAGTGTATATATATAAAGACACAGACAGATGTCAGACTGTTAACTCACTTTTATCATCATTTGCATGAAAGTGCAATTATTTACAGAGTAATAACAAGTATTTTAATATAACGTTTTTAAAACTAGGATGATGGTTCAATATGAATAGAACAGATCCAAGAACTGTTCATCCCAGTCAAAACAGTCGAAGTTTAGCGGGTCTCATGCTGTCATTAGCCAAAACATCTTGACAAACCACACATAAAGGTCGTGGTTCATCAGCTGGTCCTGTCCACGGAAATCCTTAACTCAAATACTGATCATCATATCGTCGTCTTTTGGGTTTAAGCCCTGAACTTGAAGGCTTTGAATCAGGGGGTCTCAGAAACCGATCCATTGTGTTAGCAGGCATATACCTGTATTGGCAGGCTTGCCAAACAGAAGCGAATTCACAGCTATGGCCTTCTGGGTAAATAAGGTTTTCTTATTTTAGACATTATTTTTTTTTAGCTTTGTTTAATTAAAACGTTTCAATATAA